CCACTATATGTATTAGTTGTGTGAGAGAGAAAACAAGAAAGTTTGTGTATTAAGGTAATAAGCTTTCAATTAAGTAAAACAGGAATACAAGAAACTATGCTCAATAGTAAGATTACGATTTGTATCATACGTTTCTCCTATAAATCCTAGCCCTAAGAAGAAGTGTGAAGTGTGTTATGATCTTTGTGCAATTTAGTTTAAACAACCTATAGAGCAGAAAATATAACTTCCACCATAATTGTCTTAATTTGTAGAACTAATTTTATTTTAAAGAAGATTCAATGCATTTTCAAATTGAAAAATTTTAGAATTAATGGGTACATAGTCTACAATAATTTTAATTTTATGGTTATTTTAATTTAGGAAATAACTTGAGCTAGTCTAACTAAAAAGGACATAACATGAGTTGTAGGAAGAGTTTTCATTGGAAATAATTTTCGTTGAAAGCTTACATATAATGGCTTATTTTGAAAAAATTCATAATTTTTGGCAAACCAATTCTCCAATAATTTCACAAAGTCGACTAGCTAATTCTACACTCTAGGACAAAGTGAATCACCTTAGATTGACATACCCTGAGTTAGGAAAATTATTTTGATATGAAACCAATTTTGTTAAAGATCATAGTACATAAAAACCAAATGAGTAAATTTTTTACTATTGCAGGGTAGTCCAATTTAGATTATATCTCTATCTATGAAGTCCAAAATAAATGAATTTAATCTTGTAAACTGTGAAATTTCTAGTTTTTCATGATAAAATTTCATATTATGTGAATTAGGAATTAATCATAACATGTATTTAAAGTGATTGTCTTGAATACGATATGTATTTTGAGATGTCTTGATGCCTTGAAATGAAAAATTGTATTCTTATGATATATCAAAGATTGATTGTTTTATAATGAACAGGGATACTTTAAAAAAAAAAAAAACTTTAGTCTTCTTGTAATGAAGAGATAAAAGATTATGAGAAGTTATTGAAATATGATAAATTTGATGATCACGCTAAGAATGATGACTTTCACCTTAAAGATTGACATTTGTGAAATATCCAATATATTATTTATGCAATGTGACATTCAGTATTGCAACTGTTTGAAGTATGGTATGGGACATATTATATGCTACTTTGAATATTGAGGATCCTTTTGCTTATAAGTGTGATGTCATTTGGTATGTAATGTAATTAAGAATGCATGTAGGTACGTCTGGTCACGTATAAATTATTTAAAAAAAAAGTAACTTATTTATATTTGATGCATTCAACTATTTAGTTTTATAAATCAAATATAAATTAAATGTAAATATAGTATATGTTGCATACGAATTCTTATAAGTTGCATCCCTCATGTACTGACTGATTAATTCATTAGAAAAATATTTTTTTTTATAAGTCGGATATGAGAGTGATTATTAATTATTTTTTATTTTTCTATTATAAAAATGGTAATTTTTCTATTATAAAAATGGTAATTAAAAATTTAAATCGTATTTATTTCTGTATATAATTTATTTTATTTGTATAAAAAATTTAAAAGTTACATAAATTTTGTAAATTTTGTATTGAATTACTATTATGTACGCCAGAGGCCCAGAATTGTTTGTATGTGTAATAAATTACAATACAATGTGCTTACTTCATGAAGGAAAATGATGTGACAACAACTTACGTAATTACGTTATAAATTTGGTTCTTATCAGTGATATAAATTATCTAATTATAAAAATTGCTACTTGGCACCAAATGAACTTCATAACTTCATTATAAACTATTTTATTGGTATACCACTTCTTGGGCTTTTTTTTACAGAAATACAGCTTTTTTTAAATGAAATTATGCATGTATTCTAATTTATTTATTTTTACATAAATATTTTAAAATGAGAAGTCGATTACAAACAACTTTCCTATTTTAGTTTTGTCTTCAAAGAAGTTGACTTTAATCAACTTTTGTTCTTTAAAAAAGTTGACTTTAATCGACTTTTATCTTCCATTGAAGTCAATTTAAGCCAATTTTTATGGCTGAAATCTGGATGCAAAGAAGTTGGTTATAATCTACTTTCATAGTACAGTAAAAACGATTAAAATCGACTTCTATTGATGTATAGAGACGATTTTAAACGACTACTATACAGCCCAAACCAAAGAGAGGCAAGACCATAAAGAAGTGAGTAGAGAGAGAACCGAGACTAGAGAGAGAGGAAAGGAGGCCAAAGAGTGATCAGAGAACAGCGAAGACAGCACAGATGGCGGAGACAGCGAAGACAGCGAAGATAACGAAAGATGGATAATGATTTATATTGACTTAATTTTGTTGATCATATTACAAGCAAGTTGTTAACAAAGGTGAATTAATTTTTAAATATATATTTAGTTAATTTATAATTAGTTATTTTTGTATATAATTTAATGTATTATTAATTCTGTAATTATATGTTTAGAAATATGTGTAAATGTTAATACTTATTATCTTTTAAATTAATTATAATTGTTTTTTATAATTATAATTATTATATTGAGGAATGCAAATAAAATTCTAATATATATTTATAATTATTATGATAATTTAGTTTTGTATTGTAGTAATTTATAATTATAATAGTTTTGTTATAATGGTTTCATTTAAATCTTATATATATTATTTTGTTATTGTACAAGAAGCTCGAATTTTAAAAAGTAGGCATTATAATATGATGGTTCCTCCAGATTCAAGAATGAAACCGTTTCTTAAGCAAACTGGTTTTTGGCACGTTGCATAGATGGTTCCAGTATTTGATTATGATAGAACACTCATAAGTGCACTTGTAGAACGTCGGAGGCCTGAGACACATACATTTCATTTTTCATACAAAAAATGTATGATCACTTTAGAGGATATTGTGTTTCAGTTAGGCTTACGTGTGGATGGAGTCCCTGTGAATAGTTGCATTGGAGCGTGGGAGAAATTTTATGATCGAAATACATGGGCATTGTGTGAAGATTTACTTGGAGCAGTTCCTCATGAGAGAAACATAAAAGAATTTTTTATAAATCTACAGTGGTTCACAAATATATTTGGAGTATTACCTCACAATGCTAATAGATTTACTGAGATTTCAAACTATAGTTGGAGTTCTGCTGTTTTAGCATCCTTTATCGTGAGCTTTGTTGTGTAGTGAAATACAATGTCACTGAAATTGCAGGTTGTTTGTCAGTTAGCCCTTAGGCACCATCATCCTTTCACTTTTCCATTAGTATTAAGGTATATTTTTTATGAATATATTAATTTTTATTTATATATGTTAAATTTGCAAGTAAAAACTAATTATGTTCATTTTAAGTAAAAGAGTTTTAGGTCATCGACGAGATCAGATACGGATAAGTTATTGCGATATAAGAGGATCATTGATTCAATTGGCATTAATGGGGTAAGTTGAAATAGAATGTATGCTACTAACTTTTGTTTTAAATAATTATATTTTTTTTGTCTAATATTTTATTTTGCTTATTTCAATTTAAGTGGATGTCCTACAGCAACAATGAGGTCAAGAACATTACAGCATGAAGCTAATGTTTGGGTATCTATGACTTGTATATTATTTTCCTCATACTCTTCTAGTATTCGGCTCACCAACTTTAACAAAGTCATTAGTGGATAGATAACTAACCAAGCTTGATGGTAGCTATAAAATGTCTCTCCCTCCACTATGTTTATAATCTCACTATTATAATATATAAGCACATGAACATCATTCTCTCCTATTTTACTGAAAATACACTCAATTTGTCATTTTTTTATTTAATTTATGCAAAGTCTGGAAGCTGTATGTTTATTTATAAGGGAAGACGAATGAGATGATTATTGAAATCGACTAAAATCAACTTTTAAACTGAAATTTACTTGAAACGACCTGTGTGTAAAACTGAAATATATTAAAATCAACTTATATATTAAAGTGAAATCTATTAAAATTGACTTTTTATATTAAAGTAAAATCTATTAAAATCAATTTTTGCATATACTAAAAGTTGATTTAAATCAACTTAAGTATCAAAGTAAACTAAATCCACAAAAGTTTATTAAAGTCGATTTCTTAGTAGGTTTTAAATGATTTAAAGTCGATTACAATTGACTTCAGATGCTGAAATATTTTAAATTTTAACTAAAGTCAATTTTAATCGACTTCAATTATTATATTTTAAAGATAAAATTGTAAATTTTTCTTAAAGAGAATATTTGTGTAATAAATTTTTAAAATTGTTTTATTCATATAAAAAAACCTCATTTTTTGAAACTGGTGATTTAATACTAATTCTTTTTCTCTCCGGTTGTTGTTGATCAAGCCTACTTATGAAGTCGTTTTCGTTGATGCAATGGAAAGGGACCACGATCCACGATATTTTACTGTTTAAAATGAGGTGCACAGTGTAGTTTTAGATTCAGTGTCGTCTGCGTATAGTTAGGCTTAAAAAGAATTCGGATTGTTTACGATGGGAGGTTTTGGAGGGAGGAGAGGGAGGGTAACTTTGTTTTAAAAATATATATTTAAAATTAATATTTTAAAATAAAAGAAATAAATTGATATATTAATATAAATTTAAAGTATTAATTATATATTTAATATCATAAATAATATATTTTTTAATTTAAAATTAAAAAAATGTTTTTTCGTTTTTTTTTAAATTTTTTTCTAAACATATGTTAAAAAGATTTTATAGAAATAATTTATAATTTTTTTAAAATTTTATTTTAAATAAAATTTCTAAAATAGATTAATAAAGTAAGATTTTTAATGTATTTTAATAAATTTTATGATCAATTTTGTAATATAAATTGGCATATAATAAAAAATTTATTGAATGATTAAATATTTAATTAAGATGTGTACTCCAATGCGTTTTTTTTCTTTTCACTTATTTGTAACTTCGTATCCGAAACTCATGTTGTAAATTTAATTTGAGTTTATAAATATATTTTCTTATAAAACAAAAATCAATAAATAAAAGCCACAATCGTCTACACCGGACCCTAGGGAAAGAAATACCGCACAAAACATTTATATCAGAGGGCTCGACAAAAGAAAATGTACGTTACTACCTGCAGCTAGAGTTTGCAGAAACTTCATGTTTCTTGATCATTCTTCCTAACATCATGCATTTTGGAATCTTCGTGCCCACCCCACTTCTTTATCCTATCTTCTGCCAGGGATGCCTGTCATTTACAATTAAAATTAGGCTGTAATGAACATATTTACTAGATCTGTAATATACATTCCTCATCATATCACCAAATCAATTTCCTTTTACAATCAATACATATACCTCTTTATTCCAATCGGTTTTATAGATCATGAAAAAAAGAACACAAGTTTGTAAGATGGTCCCTGACAGCATTCCAGTCCAAATCCCCTGAAAATCATAAATAATTATAAATGCACATGTTGTTATTGATAAATATTTATATTTTCCCAGATGGACATACGGATCCCAACTCCCAGGTTTGAACATATTTTGATTCCTTTATTGATTTTATTATGAATGGACCATAATGCAAATATTCAAAAGATTAAAGTTCAATGATGGGAATTTTGTCGTGTAGCAAAGTTGCATGTTTTCTAGTGCTTGGCGTGTTTCGAATGTACTCGTGTACTTCTGTCGTCCAGGTTTCGAGCTTACTTTTTCTTTTCTTTTTTCACTAAGTGAAATGATATTTGAGTTACAAGTAATAGAAAAGAAAAAGCAAGTAATATAAAGTAAATAATGAAAGAAAGATAAAGAAAATAGCTCACCGTGACACCAAAGTCAAACTTGTAACCCAAAATAAGGCCCACTGGAATACCAAACAAGTAGTAACAAGCAATATTCACATAAGCAACAACTGCTTGCCAACCTGCCCCAACGGCAACACCTGAAAGAACGGGTTGCACGTTGTTGATGACTATGCAAAAGGCCAATAATGGTGTCAGCTCCATCACCACTTCTCTCACTTCTGAATCATTTGAAAACAAAAAGGGGTATTGCTTCCGAAAGACGATCAGAACCAGTGAGAGTAAGAGACCAATCAGAGTCGAAGTAATCACAGCGACCACAAGTGAAAACTTTGCCGTTCTTGGGTGGCATGCGCCCAACTCATTGGACACTCTCACACTGCATGCATAATTTTTTATAGAAATTATGTTAAATCATATTTGGAGACTTTCTAAGCTGTATTAGTTGATGTATACAAGGCTAGCTAGAAGCACGTTCAGAGGAAGGTGCGTTTGGCAAGAACAAACCTTACGGCTGCGTTCATTCCAAAGGATACCATGATGGTCCACCCCAATATGTTCATGCTGCAAATTCAATACCACAAGACGAGGTACATCATTGTTTGAACCAATTCAAACAAGGTGAAAAAAAAGATAAATTTAGAATATGTTTGTTTGCATTTTTAAAAAACTAAAATTACATGTATTTTTAATTTTAAAAAAAAACTCTTTAAAATGCAAATAAACATACCTTAGTCTCATATTGAGCAGATTAATAGCACAAAACAAGAAGGGAAACTTAATACTTCATATTCTTTTAATCTTCAATGTCAATTTGTAGGTTTATGCACTATTTTATTTATATTTATGAGTTTAAATAGGCGCCCACCTATTAATAGTTTACATTTAAAACTTTTATATGCATGAACGGGTAATCCATTTAAGTGATACATGTTTATTTTTTCTTAAATAAAAGTTTTGAATTTAAATTTTGTTTCATAGATCCCTATACTAAAAAACTACTTTGTTGTGTCTGTTTTTCACTCGACGTAGTGGGTTGGTATGCTTTTGACCCAAAAATATGTCAAGGATTACAGAAGGAAAGGGTTAGGAGATAAGTAGGACAATGGGAAATAACCCACTCGAGGGTAAAGAGCACATGTAACGATCTATTTGATAGTGGAGAACATGAGAATGCATGGGGCGTGTCGGTGTGGGTCGTCTCTTTTATGAGATGGATAAAACAAGGTCTTCCTTTTAAAGGTAAGAGATTGAGAATGGGAGGAAGCCTGATCATCCTTTGAGCCTGTTGTACTCTGCTATTATACCCTTTAAACCAGTTTTATATCGTACTCCTCTTAAGTTTTACACAGTAATTGATTCAATTTCATCATAAAAAGCTTCTGGGGGTGTGAAATGGGTAGAAGAACGGAGATAGGGAGAGGAAAAAAAAGTATAACGAATTATGTAATAAAAAGAAGATATATATATATATATATATACACGCTAAGTGTAAAAATATATATAAAAAAAATGAAGTTCAAAAGCAAATATGTTAATTTTCGACGATGAACGGTATTATTCAGTAGAGACATACTACCAACTAATATACTATTTGAAGTGGATTAGGGAAGACAAAAAGAAAGGAGAAGTGAAAAAAATGGAATTTCGTAATCGACATACAAGTTAAGGTAAGACAAACAAAAAGTGTAAACTATATTTTTATTTTTATTTTTGTAAATAATTGACACAAAAAGAGGAAACATATACAAACTACATGAAATTTTTTCAAATACATGATATGCATGTTAGGGTAAGAGAAACAAAATTGGGAAATCCAAGTTAAATGAAACTTTTGTAAATACTTAGCATACAATTAAGTTATGTATCTATGGTCATCTCGCGATGTGGATGACTTTGGAATAGGAACTTTCTAATTTGGTCAGGAGTGCAGTAGACTTTGGGAAATCTTTATACATAACATAGAATAGAAGTGTGTGTGTGTGTGCACGTTAAAACTATGGCGCAACAGCAGGGGGGCCTACAACATAATGATATTAAAATCATGGAGTAATGAAATGTTTAGAGAATTTGCAGTAAGTTTTTAAAAACAATTTATGGTTTTTATATTTTTTAATTTATTTTAAAATATATTGATATAATTATTAAAATTTTAAAAAAATTATTTGAATAAATTTGATATTTAAATTTATACAAATTTTTATATAAAAATGTATTAAATCCGTAAACAACCTAAGCCAAGAACGTTATTCAAGGCGGTAAACGGTAAATGTCAATGATATATAAATTAACATTTCCAATTTGATAGGAAAAAGTTGTCTATACAACTATTTTTTAAGACGTTTAGTTACCATTCTTGAATAATGAAGAAAAAGACACTTAGACAATAAAGATAAAGACATTAGTATCTATTTTTTTTATTTTTACAAGTTTACTCTCTGTGTCTCTGAAATTGAGATATTAGTGTCTCCTTTTTTAAGAAGTATACTGATGCTTTCGAATTTGTATTCCTGTGTTTCTGTCTTTCTAGCGAAACACTAGCCAAACATAATATATATACTTCCGTGTATCTGTTTAAGTGTCTCTGTCCCCCACCCAAATCAAACGTTGTCCAAGTGTAACAATTACAAATTGTTACCAATAAAAATATTATTATACGTTATTATATATAACTATTTTTTAAGAAGATATATACATTAAAAATATATTTAAAAATAAATAAAATGTTTAAAATGATATAAAATACAGTATTAATGTTATCTATCTATTTATTTATGCTAAGTGTACTCATAAAACAATAATGGGGAGATATTCGAAAAAAGAAAATGAGTAACTAATAATTTAAGTACGAAAAACAATCTCAAAATAATGAATACTTCGTGAGGGCGTATTGAGTTGGTATGTACTTGCATTTTTCATTTTAAATAAAATGTATAACGATTATAATTAGAAAACTCTACTTCTGAGTGACTGTATTAAATTATAATTACAAAGTGTATAAGTTGTAATTGAACTATCAAAGAATGATTAAAGGAAAAAAAACATAATAAAAGCAGTGTAGTAGTTTACTTGTATTCTATCGATTCCTGGTATATATATGTGCTACATGAAATATTTCAGAGAGAATAATATAATTCACTTTACTAATCAACTTCGATTGTAATGTCTTTTACTGTGATCAAAAGTCATTAAAGTGTCAGTTGTAATAACTATGTATTCATTCAACGTAGTATGAATTTTAAAGAGGAGTTTAATCTCAGTTTATTATTATTGCAAAATATTTTAATATTATGATATAAGATTAATTTATTGATGTAATACTTTTTACATTGTTATAAAACATTCTTTATTTCTAAGTTTGTTTATATTTTAGTAAGTATTGTGTTATTTAACATTTTAGTAGGGAAAAAAAATGGATGAACCTTTTTATTTAAGGCTATGACCGAGTTTTTATTTATTTTAGGTCAAGCATATTTGTCCAACAAGTCATTAAAAGATTATTTTAATATCTTATTTGGATAAAAAAAATGCCAGACTTTAAATCAACTAAAAATATATTTTAAACCTAGTAGAGTATTTTATTTTTATTTTTATTTTTATTTTTATTAAAGTGTAAGTAAGATAATGTTACACAAATTTTATGTGATGGTCGAGCATCACGGCTCACAACACTTGACTTAAATGGAAAAAGTAGAATGAATTTTTACAATGTTGAAATGTTTTTGTCTCTAAGAAGGAGGAAGACATAAAAGAAAGATGTTTATATTTTAATAGGGAAGAGAAAATACGATTTTTTTTAGATGATAATTTTTTAAAAAATAGAACGATAAAGAAGGGAAAAAATATAGAAGGTAAAAAATGAATATAAAAATAAAACTATACGACGTACTAAATAATGGTTGATGGGGTCTCCCCCTTAATTAAAGATCAGTAGTCTGTAGGGAGTGACTCACCAGATTGACAAGGCATCGACCGAAACTTCAGCATTCTTGAGATACCCCGCAAACAGTATGAGGGCCATAAAGTACCACACTTCAAGGCTGCACAACATAAGGAATCTTAAAAATATATATTGAAAAATAAAGATGATAACCGTTTAGCATTTTTCGAAAAACCATACACAAAAAACCATGTCAAGGAGAATTAACTGTGGTAAGTCAAACACAAGAACAATATATCTCCATGCACATGTTAATTTTTTAAGCTTCAAGAATATTTATTGTCTGTTATACACTCAATATTTAAAATGTATACAATAATAAAAAAATAAAAAAAGAAATAAAAGACAATGAAAAGTAAAATAAGGTGAAAAATAAAAAATATAATAATTATTATTATTAAAATATTCATCAACAACATCTACTCTCTTTATAGAAAGGTGAATAAATAAATATTTTGAAGAGAAAGGTAATAAAAACTAGTAATGTATTTTTTAGACATACTTTTTATAATTATTTAATTTTAAAAAAATTAAAAAATAAATTAATTTAATAAAATAGCATTTTAATACTAAAAAAAAATTAAAGGAGTGTGTTTTAAAAAATATATTCATAATATTTTTCTATATTTAATTTTTGAAATATAAAAAATATTAACCAATGCTTGTGTAATGTTAATTAAAAATTATCTTAAATACAATCTTATCATAGTTTTTAATATACTCTTTATATAAGTTCGATTAAAATAATTTTCGCAACCAGAATAATTAGTTAATAAAACCTTGAAAGATCGGAGAATATTGAAAAGTATTTAAAATTAGAACAAGACAGACCAGAGCATAACGGCAGAGGCAAGAGAGAGGCGAACAAATCCCCATAGATTGTGAAAAGCTTGAATGGAGAACCCACTCCAAGCCTCACCACAGGACCCACAAAACACATACACAAGCTGAGCCACCACAATGAACCACCACGACGCGTTCAGCACAACCGCAGCACCCACCATACCCCACCCAAGCTTCAACATAAGGAGCCAGCTGAACAAGACGTGCAGCACCAGCGCCGCCGCCGCAATCCACGCCATAGCCATGATCTTGCTCTGCGCCTGCAAGAACTTCTGGATTGGGTAGTTCATAGCGTAGGCGAACAGCTGCGGAATCATCCACAGAGCGAACATCCCCGCCGCCTCCGAAATCGCTGTCGTTTGCCCTATCAGCTTCAGAAGCGGCTCCGCGAAGATGTAGAGAAGGCTCAGAAAAATCGCTGTAGTGTTCATTATAACCCACGATCTCTGCATGTATATTCCTAACATATCCAGTTTCCCCGCTCCGTAAGCTTGCCCGCACAGCGTTTCCAACGCGCTTCCCATCCCAAGCTGCGTCCAACCCCAATCCAAATTAAATAATTAATCACCGGATTAATTAACTAATCACGCGTTGAATTAACTTAACTCAATTTTATTTTATTTTGCATTTTTTTCAACTTTGTTAACTTTATTTTATTGAAAATATAATAAATGATTTTTAACGTGTATTCAAATATTCAAAGATCCACGACAAGAGTCGTGTAATAAATATTTTTCTATGAAACCATAATATCATTATTATTTACTTACCGTGATGCCTAAACAGAAGCCCGCGATGACGGAGTTTTCAATGGAGACGGCGGCGAGAGCGATGGTGCTGACTTGGCCGGAGAAGACTTGAGTGATGGCGCCGAGGGAGTACTGGCAAACGGAGGTGAAGATGGCGGGGCCGGCGAGGTACCAGAGCTTCTTTGACTCGAGGAGGAACTCCCGGGCGAAATCTCCGGTGCCGGCGATTGGAGCGATGTCGTCAGATTCGGTGGTGAAGACTGCGGTGTCCGGGGCATGGTTTTGCGCATGCGGCGTGAGAAGTGGTTGAGTTTGGTTGTTGTCCTCCATCGTCACCCAAGACAGAATTGAAAATGATAAAGGTCACGTATATAAAAAGAAGAAATCGATCCCTCTAAACAGATTTTACCATTATGATTTATCATTGGTAGTTAGAAGAAAGGCAGAAAAGGATAAAAGACAAAAGGTAAAATATCAAGTAGCTAGCATACATATGATGATATGATCCTATCCTAACAACTGCCCATGAGGAGAGAAGACGGGTCAGATATCACTAGTTTGTTCTAGTAGTGTTATTTTAGTATTAAGGACAGTAAACTGATTACATGTTCACACTTTAATTAGATATTTTTAAAAAGAAATTAATTATATAATATATTATAAAGTATTATTATATGTTGGTTATTATTTATAATATTCAACATAAATTATAATTAATTATTTAAAAAATATAAAATTAAAAAAATAAACCAACTAGAAAACTTAAATTTTAATTAAGCTAAAATTCTTATATACAATGATGATGAAACTGATAACGATCGATAATAAGAAAGGCATAAATAAAATAGCAATTGATACTAATTAATACATTTATCATCTTTAGCTCTAGGATAAATCCATATCTTCTTATCAATAGAATGCCTCATTCTATACATTCATAGGTCTAAACTTTGCCTGACTTAATGTTAAGGAGTTAACCCATTACAATACTAAAATTAAAGTCTCTCTAAACTCTGCTTTTTTTTATAAAAAGATGCAATAAATTTTAATATCTTAACTAGTTTTTAAATTTTAGTATAAATGCAATTACACTATAATAGAAAAGGCATTAGAGAACGGTTCCACATTATAATAAAGAGTAGTTCAAAACATTCTTACAACTATTACTATCCAAAGTGAATATATTTGGAGATTGATTCATACAACTGCTCTCTAAGTATCATTTAGAGAGCAATAAATTTAAAATTATTTTTCTTGTTAGTTTTTATTATAAAATAAAATTAATTTTTTTATATTTAAACTTAAATTTGTATTTTTGAGATTCAAAATTTCTTCATTGATGAGTTTTTTTTTTTATCAAAAACCAAAATCAATTTTTTGTCTTGTTAAAATTCAAGTTTGTATGTTGTGTTAACCAAATAGTTCACGTCTAAATAAATAAAAGACTGTGAATGAAGAAAGACACTAAAAAGGTACATATAATTGTGGAAGATACCAACTTTGTTAGTATATAGAAGCAAAAAAAATGAAGAAGAGATTCATAGAGCTCATGTAAGTTGAGTGATGTTTCATCCTTATGTGGGTTTATAAGTTAGAAGTTGCTAAAGTTTTTTAAAATTTTAAATTGTGAGAGTGGTTAGCATATAAATGCTCTCCAAACATGACTTAAGAAAGCGGTTAATACGTTACCGCTCTTTGCAGAGCAATTAATATAATCACTCTCTAAAGTCACCTTAAAAAAGTAGTTATATTATTATGCTCTATATGTGATCACTTCAAAAAATGAAAAATGGCATAGTGTTAGAAAGTTTGAATTCTAGATAATTACCTAGACCACATTCCTTTACCAAAAGGGTAAGCATTTGTAGGTCTAAAGTCTAAACTAAGAAATGCGCCAAAGTCACAAGCTAAAATGATAATTGTGGTCTTAAATCACATCTTAACCATACATTAACAATCCATCAACAGCCTAAAATGCCTTGTTAAAACTCATCTCACATATTAACATTAGGCTCTAATTCCCAACATGACATATAAATTCAACCAATATCTCAATCACACTTAATCATTATTGCACAATTGGCCTCATACTTAACAATCTTCAAAGATCTTGTAATAATAGCTTAAGAATTACGTCCTTTACAAGTTATCCAAGTTGCAACCAATTAGGTGGTTGCAATTTAGCATTGAAGTTATTATTACAATTTAGTGATTGAATTCGTAATCGACTGAGTGGTCACAGTTTAGCGATTGAATTTATGACTATTAAGTTAATCAAAAAAATTTGTTGCTAATGTTAATTTGCGACCAAATTTGGAAACAAAAAAAAAATGGTTCCTAATTTCATAATTTTGCTAAAATATTTTGCAACCAACTTTTTATCACATCACTTTGGTCACTAATTTAGTTGTTAGTTAATTTAGTGACCAAAATTTTACTTTATACAATTGATTTTTTCAGTCTCTAATTTACTTTTTTTTTTTAATTGTGAAAGTAGTAAATGATAGGGATACTAGATGTCCTCATCTATGGCAAAGCCTCTTCTAACCTTATTAGTGATAGTACTAAAAATATGTTTGTTAAACGAAACCAATAGGTAGGAATGAATGTCTCAACTCAACCTCTCCCAATACCTTTATAGTACCCTCATCTTGTACATCTAGTTATGTAGTTTGCTATTTATTTCTAATAAATGAAAAAAGTAGTAGATAAATATTATTCATATTAAATAAATTATAATAAAATATAATAAAAATGTATAAATTAAATTTATATTATTATTATTAAATTAACAGCTCATAAGTTTATGTTTTTCTTTTTTTTACTTTGCATGACCATTAGGAGTAATAGTTAGTGTTCCTGTTAAGGATACACGAGTCTTCTAGATACTCCTCTGTAGGTGTTTCAACTGACGCAACTCGTTGAATTGTAGATTCCTCTTTCTGACGTAGGGGAGATGTACCTGCAAAAGGCACTTCAATGATGAAGTCAAGATTCGATTCTGAGTGATAAATGTTATTTTATATTCAAAAGTCAACCTCTTACTTGTCCTTCCTTTTATAGGTATTTTTATGAGCTAATGGGCCTTGTGAGTCAGCCCTATTCTTAACCTGATAATTAAGCTGATAATATTCTTAGTTTTTTTATCTAAATAGATTTAATTGCTTATTAATTTATAATTAATGTACCTTGAGAGGTACTCGTCCTTCGTAGGCCGAATAGGTACTCGATTTCTTTCTTCTATAAGTAGGACTGAGTAGTGTCCTATACGGTACAATTAGTAAAAAGATTGTTAACACTTCATGACCATTAAATGTTAATAAATAATATGAGTGGTTGACAATCATAAGAAAATTGAAATTAGAATTAATCTAAAAGGAAACATAACGAATTATAAAAGTGAAACCATACTTCCTAGTTATTCTCGATTAATTTATCGTCAGATGTTGCATTATTTTAATTCTATTTAATTGCTTTTTGAATCCTTGTATTTATTTAATTTCACATCTTTTACTTTTAAACAATTAAATTAAGAAATTCTTGGTAATTGAAAACAATCTTTGTAGAACGATATTTCAAGAATTTATTTTAAAACTTTTTATTACTTTTTGACGGGTACACTTATTCATGAACAAATTCCTTGACGACTAAGAAAACAATGCAAGCGAAGTCAAATCTTGCAATCATATTCAAAATTGTAATGACATTCTCTTCAAACCCAAATAAGAATGCGTAACTATATAAAGAAATTCAACTAAGAACAACATGTACAACAAAAAATATTAACAACCATAATGTAACTCATACTTATATCTAGGTAATGAAGCAAAGAAGGCTTTACTCCAAATATAAACAGTAAACTAATATGTCTATTGTGACTAATGATACATTTATACAAGTGATCTCAATCAATTGATGCATTAAACACAAGAGTAATCCATTAGAATTTGCAAAAAAAAATGAATTAAATTTAACTATAAAAGTGTTAAACAATGGTTGACACAAAACATATCTTATAGAATTTAAAAACACCAATGCACAATCATTATAACAACATAATGATGATAGAATAAAATTCCTTTAAAAATTTAGGATGACATAAGAAAGTTTTCCAAATTTCTGAGAAAGAGAAAATCTAAATCTAAGAAAAATTTCTACAAATGAAAATATGAAAATTATGAGATATATGAAAATAGGCTCAATGACATCAATATATAGTTTTAAATCGTGTTAAGAGTTAGAATGCTAGACTGGTCGCTAGAACATGCAAATATTATTATATATTATTTTTGCAGTTGATGCCCAATATTGGAACACTCAAACCCAGCATTGAAACAGGCATCAGACTTTAGTTACTCAAGGTCGGGGCGTTAGAACACTAAATTTGGACATTGGAATTCTGAAACTCATGAAACATTTTAGTTCTTCTCTATTGAGTGGGCATTAGAATGTTAATATTCAATATTGTAATGCTCAGCAATTTGTTACAACTCTTTTGTTTCTTCATTGAGCGTTGGATCCCTTAGTTAACATTGGAACACTTAGTCCATATTTTTGCATTTTTGTGCTTGGTTTCTAATTAGGAATTTTTCCTATTCCAATTTTGTTCTAAAAATAAAAATAACATAATTTAATTTAATTTAATTTATACTAAATTTACAATTATTTATAATTTAAATAAAAATTACAAAATATTCTAATTTATGGTTATTTTTACTAATATTTTAATGAGATTTAAGCAAATTAATCTTAAAAATATACTAACATAAAGTTAAATATTAACTTGACTGTATTAAAAAAGTCAACATTCAATAGGGTTTCCTCACAAAAAGCTCCAAGATCCTAACTTTTCCTTTCAAGAAAAGAGGGCTTTGGAGGCGCTCCTAAGGTTCTCGCCCTAGTGATTCGATGGTGGTCGCGAGAGCTTTCTAAAGTACTGGAGGAAGACAAAATCATTTCGTGAAAAGGAGCAAGGTCCCTTACCCATGGTCTCGAGAGATCGAATAATATGGAGAAGAATGAAGCTGAGAAGCGGTCTATAAAGGAGATGGATCTCATGGATCGGAGCACCAAGAAGATCAAGACAAATGAAGTGGGACAAAAGGAGATGTCGATCTTAGGAATGCAAGAAGAATCAAGATCTATTGATGCTGCAACTTATTAGGTGCTTTCTATACCCTGTTTTCCTAAGCTTTCATCCTATAAAGATAAGGTTTTAGAATCAAATGAGGTAGATCTGATTTTAAATGACGCAGAAATTATTAAAAATGTATTGGATGATTTGAATATTATTTATGAGGTGCGGATAATACTGAAAGTACTGGTAAAATGCAAAACTTGTGTCATGACCTAAAGATCCCCTTGGAGGATTACAAGGAATGGTGTGCTCCTTGGAAATTTACACTTATAGTGAAACTGCTAAGAAAATCAATTAGCTTCAGATTTTGAAACCAAAAACTAAATAATATTTGGGGTAAACATGGGTCCCTAAAAATTCTTGATCTGAATAATGATT